ATATATATATATATAGACACACACACACACACACACAGAGTGTGTTAGCTCATGCTTGCATCTGCACTAAGGAGGCTGAGGCAGTAGAACCACTGTAAGTTCAAAGCCAGCTTGAGTTCAGGCCTGCTTGAACTACATGGTGAGACCTTTTCTCAAAAAATAAAAAACATTAGCAAAACAAATCCAGCAACATATCAAAAAGACATTATCACAACCAAATAGGGTTTATTCCCTAGCTTGCAAGATTGCTTTAGTAACCACAGATCCATCAATGACACATCATTTACGATAAAGACCATCATTTCAGTTAGTGTAGAAAAAGTATTTAACAAAGTCCCACATCCTTTCTTTAGTAACCAAAGCAAACCAAACCAAAACACTCTTGGACTAAGGAAATAGCTCAGTAGTAGAGTGCTTGCCTAGCCTGTGTAAAATCCTGGTTTTGATCCCAGCATCACACACACACACACACACACACACACACACACAAACAGACAAACAAACAAAAGACCTCAGTAATATAGAAAGAGAGCTCCTCAACATAATAAAGGTCATTTTAGGGGCTGGGGAGATAGCTCAGTAGAAGAAGCACCTGCCTGGCAAGCACAGGGTCCTGAGTTCAATCCCAGGTACCACCAAAAAAAAAAAAAAAAAAAGTCATTTTGAAAATCCCACAGTTAACAAGATAAAGTGGGAAGATAACAGCTTTTCCAATAAGATCCAAGACAAGACAATGACACTTTTATAACACTACTAGAAGTACTCTAGCAAAACAATCATTGGGTGTGGTGACATACACCTATAATCTCAACATTCAGGAAGCTTAGGCAGGAACATGAGGGTGATTTAGTTGCCACATCTGTCACCCCACTGATCACCAGGACTGATTCAGCTGATCTGGTTGGCTAGTAAGTGTCCCCTTCCTCCCTTACAGCTCCAAGTGAGTTCCTCCTACAGCTGCATGTTCAGTGGATGAGGACCACCACCTCCAATAGAGGAGGATGATTTCCTCAGTCAAGGGTATACAAGTAGTTGCACTGCCCTGTTAGAACCTCCACATAAGCTCTTAAGAAAACTGAAGCAAGAGGATTGCAGTGAGGCTAATTTTGTGTAGAACACAAAAATTAGTACAGGAGCTAGGGTGCATAATTCAGTGAATGGTACAGTGCTTGTCTGGCAAGCATGCAGCCCTGAGTTTAATCTTGGTGGGGAAAAAACTCAATAAACAAGCATGGTGATGCAGACCTGTAAGCTCAGGTACTCAGGAAGGTAAGGCAGAAGCATCACAAATTTAGTACCAGGATGAATATCTTTATGAGACTCTATCTCAAAAAGGGTTGCAGATGTAGCTCATCAATACAGTACTTGCCTAGCATGTGCAAGGTCCTAGGTTCAATCACCAGTATCACTAAAATATTAAAAAATAAGCAGTATTCTGGTACACAGTAATAACCTAAGTAAAACAGAAATGAAGGAAACAATCCCATTTACCTCAGCATGCAAAAAAAGAAAATACTTAGAGCTAACTTTAACCAAGCAGATAAAAGATCTATACACTGAAACCTATAAAATGCTGACTAAAATAATTAAAGATACCACGACATGAAAAGATATTCCATATTCATAAATAATAAGAATCAAAATGTCCATACTACCCAAAACAATAAGAGATTCAATGCAAACCCTACTAAAATCTCAATGGCATTCTTCACAAAAAAAAAACCCTAAAATTCATAATGAACTTTCTTCCTTTTTTGGCCAGCTCAGCCTGCCCTGTGGTGGGGTTGGCACAGCATGTGGTGCCAGGCATCGAACCCTGGCCCCTGTGTTTGTTTCAGTGGGGATTTGGCCCCGCCCCAGGACACATTGAGACTTGATGTGGTGGCACACACCTGTAATCCCAGCTCTTAGGAGGCTGTAAACAAGCAGATCACTATGAGTCCGATCTAGTAGTGAGACCCTGAATACCCTATAAACCCTTCCCTAAAATATCAAAAAAAAAAAAGTAACCCAATTAACAAGGGGCAAAAAAAAAAAAAAGTGGACTGATACTTCTCCACAGAAGATATAAAAATTGCCAACTGGGATTAAGAAATGTGCTCAACACATCATTAATTATCTGGGAAATGTAAATCAAAACCACCATGAGATAGCACCTCATGCCCTTTAGGATGGATATTATTAAAATGCCAAAAGTCAACAAACACATATAAAGAAGGGTATAGAGAAAAGGGAGCTCTTGCTTACTATGGTGGGAATGTAGATTGATGCAGTCACTAAAGAAATGAATACGAAAGTTTCTAAATAAATTAAAAATAGAACTATCACATGACACAGTAATCCCACTTCTAGACATAGTCCAAAAAAAAAAAATCAAAGAGACCTGCACTCCACATTCAGGAAGCATCATTCACGAAAGCCAAGACAGGAAAACAAGTGACTGAAACTGGTGTGTGTACATGCTGGTGCATGCATACACAGACATGATATGGTCATTACTCCAACATACATAAGACTGCTGGGTAATATGCTCTAAGTTAAATATATCAAACACAAATAGAAAAATAGTAACTCAAAACTGAACAATGGTAGAGAATGAAACAATGGTTACCAGAGACAGAGGAGGTCAGAAAATATTAAAATACAGAGTAGCAGATATTTAGAATGAATTAAGTCAAAGACGTATAATACTAATATCAGTAATAAAAGCAATTATGAAAGAAAATTTTAAAAAAATAAAATTTTAAAAAAGCAATTATAGGAGTTGACAGATACATTACTTAGCTTCTATAAACTAACCATTTTACTACTTGCATGTATCCTATGACATCATGTTATATACCTTAAACATACACAGTAAAATTTATTTTTTAAAAAACTTTAAGAGTGAGCCAGGAATGGTGGCGTACGCCTATAATCCCAGCACTTGGGAGGCTGAGGCAGGAGGATCTCTACAGGTTTTAGGCCAGTCGACTACATAGACTGTGCAGGGCCAGCCTAAATTATAAAGCACAACCCTGTCTCAAAAAAAACTAAACCAAACCAAACCAAAACCAAAAAATAACTTTTAAGAATGAAAAAAATGGAAAAAAGCCCAGATGGTAAGGTCACTACAAAAAATATATACCTACTGTATACAGGGTGGACACTACCTGACAGAATATTTACTTATTCTGAGACAATGCCTATTGTTAAGGTGAAAATACTAAAGCTTAAACAGTATAAACTGGTTATTTTGCTACCTTAGCTGTAAATGGGAATCACCTGGGGAACCCTAGCTATTTATGCCTGGACACAGCCACAGGGACTGATTTTAATTTTTCTAAGACTGGGAACTTGGTCATCCTGGGTGGTTCTACTAATATGCAGCACCAAACTGAGAAAGAATAGTCGTTTATGTAAAGCAACCAAGGCCCACAGCTGACCAGGACTCAAATCTACTATTATTTTCCACTACACAGTATTAATACTAAACTGCAGAAACAAGTTTCACAGCTTACTGACTGCCATGATAACCGCTTGGAAAAATCATTTAATACAGAACAGCTCAAAATACAAGTTATTACCTGTCAGAACCGGGGTGAAACTCTGAAAGCAGGGAAGGTCGTCTTCGAAGTTGCTGCTGTTGCTGTAAGAGCTGTGATGCCTGACTAACTTCCAGATGAGAAGAGCGATAGTCAGGGACTGCAAACTCCTGGCATTAAAATAATTTTAAGTTAGCTATTAACCAAAAAGTGAACAGCATTGTAAAATCAAACCAAGCAGAATCACTATGTGAAGAAAAGCAGTAAAGCTTTCAATCATTCGCTGAGTAAACTCTCCCCCATCAACCTAAAACAATCAACATTTTAACTATTTGTTAAAAATAATTAAAAATGAAATTCAAGTTCACCTTATATTCCTCCTGATAATGATATATTTTATTATGATTGTTTTGTTTTGAGACAGTCTTGCTGTGTAGTGCAGGCTGCCCTTGAACTTGTTTATGTAGCCCAGGCTGGTCTCAAACTCACAGCAATCCTCCTGCCTCAGCCTTCTGAATGCTGCAATTACAGGCATGCACCACGACATCTGGCTCTGCTAACAGTATATTACAGTAACTCCCCACCTATACTGTCCTACATAAGCAAAATCTCAAATTTATGTATTTGATGGGGGCTGGAGAGATGGCTCAGTGGTCTAAAGCACCTACTTGAAACAAGCTTGGCAAAGCACAAGGACCGCGGTTCAATCCTCCAGCACCACATGCCAGCCAGCCCCGCCCCCTGGTGGGCTGAGCTGGCCACACACACACAATAAATAAATGTAATAAATAAAAATAAAATAAAATAAAAATTTATGTATTTGATACAAAAATCTGACAAAGCATTCCAATCTTCTGATCAAAAACAATATATGCTAAAAGGGTCACAGAAGTCATCTGGCTAGAACCATGTACATATATATACATATGCCAGTTTTGTTTTGTTTTTGTTTGTTTTGTGGTAGCAGGGACTGAATTCAGGACTCTAGAAAAATCAACCTGCTACTTAAGAGTACTATTTTTTTCCATCATAACTAAATAGGTGTTTTATGTTTGTTTTTCTACTTTATTTTCCATGCAAATCTTTTTTTTCAAATTTAATGTGCTTCTGGCCCAGAGATATAGCTCAGCAGCATAAGCATCTGCCTGGCAAGCTCAAGGTCCTGAGATCTAACCCAGTGACGAAAAAAAAAGAATTCCAAATCAAATGTGCTAATTCAATCAGAAACAGACAGCTAAGTTAGCATAAACAGAGAGCATAAAATTACTAAATGACCCAGGAATTCCAGTCCAAGATATATGACCAAAGAACTAAAGGGATATAACCACACAAAAAAACTTTCAACATACATTTTTCACAGCACTATTCACAAATTCTTCCCCCTCCAAAAATAAACAGTCCAAATGCCCATCAACTAAAATAATAATCCCAGAGCTGGGGAGAATGAAAACATGAGGATTACTACAAATTCAAGCTGCATAGGGAAAAAGTACACCAAATACATTAAAAAATAAAAATAAGAATAAAAAAATGTGTTACTACCGAAAGAACTGATAATTGAGTCATTAAAAGGATAAATATAGTGATACCCAGTAGAATACAGATAAACTTAAAATGTACTATGCTACATTTTAAAAGCCATATTTTAAAAAAATTTTTGTTTACTTCTTTGTTACAGGATCTCACTTCAGACTCATAGTGAGCCTCCTGTCTCAGCCTCCCCAAAGCTGGGATTATAAACTTACACCACCAGGCCCAGTTTTGGTAGCAGACATAGGTGGGGCCAGCGGGTAAAAACCAGATTTATATATATATATATGTTTTTTTTTCCCGGAACCAGGGATTGAACTCAGGCCCATGTGCTTGCCAGGGAAGCGCTTATTCCACTGAGCCATCTCCCCAGCCCCAAAAGACAGATTTAAAAGACCTCATTTTAATATTCCACTTATACAAGAAATACATTCATAAAGACAGAAAAAAGATTAATGGTTGCCAGCAGATGGGGGCATAAAGGCAATTTTGACTTCTATTAGGTATAGAGTTGATTCACTTCAGTGGAAAGGTTCTGGATTTCAATTATGATGATAGTTGTACAACATAATGAACAAACTATGAAAGCCACTGTATTACACAGATTAAAATGATGAATTTTCTGTTACATAAGTTCTACATCAATAAAAAAGGTTTTTAACTCAAAAATAAAATTGAGCAGCCAGGCTTACGGAGGTAGATAACAGGTCCAGAGCCCTTCTCTTTCAGCAGGAAAAAGGGTGGGGGGCAGCAAAAATGAAAAACCCTCATAGAGAGATTAAGAAAAAAAAAAAAATGCAAAGATGAAAACACAACAACAAAAAGATGGAATAGAAAAGACAAAATTATTTAAAGTTTTTCAAAATGCACCAAAAGAAAAAGAATTTAGGAGGGAGAAAGAAATAAGGAAAAAGCATTTTGTAGGGGCTGGGGAGATGACTCAGCAGAATAAGCGCTTCCCTGGCAAGAGCAAGGGCCTGAGTTCAATATCCAGTTCTGCAAAAAAAAGAAAAAAAGAAACAAAGGGGTTTTGTTTTGTATTTTTAAAGAGAGAAAGGAAGGGGAAAAAATGGAAACACGGCTTTTGTAAATGTGGAGGTGCAGAAGGGTTGAAGGGAGGGGAGAGGAATGAGGAAAAATATTAAAATTTATCACCAGTGAGCCAAGTGTGGTAATCACAATGTTCATGTAGCAGTAAAAAATAAAATTCCAATGAAAATGTCCATGGATGAAATTAATGCAGGCTGGAAGTTATAGAAGAAAAGATCGTTGACTGAGAAGCCACACCAAAATACACAAATGGATAAAAAAAAATTTAAATGAAAATAAGTTTAATAAAAATGAATTTCATATTGTTCCAGTGACCTATGAAATAATATAAAAAATATAAGCACCTAGATGGACACAGTGCACTACAACCCAAGAAGATAAAGGAGGATCAAAAGGTCAAACTCAGCCTGGACAACTTATCAAGAACCAGTCTCAAAATATAAATTGATGGGACCGGGGAGATGGCTCAGTAGAATAAGTGCTTCCTTGGCAACAAGCACAAGGGTCTGAGTTCAGTCGCCAGTTGGGGGGGGGGGGGAGATGGGTTGGGGTTAGCTCAGTTGGGAGAAAATGGATTGAATTCCTAGTTTGAAAAAATAAGCAAAATCGGGCCGGGGAGATGGCTCAGTGGAATAAGTACTTCCCTGGCAAGCACAAAGGCCTGAGTTCAATCCCTGGTTCCAAAAAAAAAAAAAAAAGGCAAAATCAGAACACTTAAAGGACACTAAAGATGGAGGAAATTATTTAAAGGAATAATGACCCATTTGTCCAAATTTTACGAAAATTATTATTCCACAGAAACAAAAAACTTAGTAAATGTCAAAGACAACACAAACTCATTTAAAGGGCCGCAGAGATAGCTCAGCCATCTAAGCATCTTGCCTAGTTCCATCCCTGGTATGTGGCTCCATCCACAGCACATGCTGTGCTGGCCACAGAGACCAGCCACCAAGACCAGGCATGGTAGGGCATGCCTGTAATCCCAGTGCTGGGGAGCCTGAAAACAGGAGGCTCACTATGAGTTTGAGCTGCGTAATGAGACCCTGCACCAAATACATATTATATTTGCATGGCTGAAAGTAAATGTTAGAGAGCAAAATCTCAAAAGCAACCCGAGGAAAGAAAAAGACAATGAAAATGTCATTTTAAATGTTTAAACAAATAATATAAAAATAATCTAAGGCTTGTAATCAGAAGAGATACAAACCAGAATATTTTAAAATAACATCATTTAAAGTGCTAGAAAAATACTCAACTTAGAACTCAGTATCAAGTGAAAATATCTTTCAAAGAAGTTGATGCAAGGGCCAGCCAAATAGCTCAGGGGATTAAAGCGCATGCCTAGGCAGATGCAGGGGAGGGGGATGCAGGGGATGGGGATTGGATTCCTGGACCTGCCCTGCCAACCCCACCCTCCAGGTGTGCTGAGAAGGCGATTGAGACTGGCCTTGGTGCCATGTGCCTGTAATCCCAGCATTTGGGAGGCTGTAAAGAGGAGGATCAGGAGGAGTCCAATCTACTAGTGAGATCCTGTAGACCCTGTACTAAATACAAAAAAAGAAAAAAAGTTAAACCAGGTACAGTGGTGCACGCCTATAATCTCAGCACTGGGGAGGCTGAGGCAGGTAGACTGCTATCAGTTCAAGGCCAGCCAGAACACAGTGAGATCTTGTCTCAAAAAAAAAAAGTTGAAAATTTTTTTAGGCAAATAAATGCTGAGAGAAATAATCACCAAAAGACCTGGCTCAAAAGAAATGAAGTTGTTCATGCAAAAAGAAAATGATGAAAAAAAAAGAAAAAGAAAAGAATAGAAAATGATATCAGACGAAACTTGAATACACAGAAAGGATGAAGAGTGTCAGAAATAGTTATACATGCTGGCCATGGTGGTACATTCCTGTAATTGCAACACTCTAGAGGCTGAGGCAGGAGGACTGTTGCAAATTCAAGACCATCCTGGGCTACAAAGTAAGTTTAAGGCAAGCCTGAACTACACAGTGAGTCCTATGTGAAAACAAAACAAAACAAAAAATGAAATAGTCATACATCTGTAATAGGTACAGCAACTACACAAGCAAAAAAGTAATAAAAGAACTGCAATTAATGGAACCAAAAAACCTAGAAAATGAATAAAACCAAAATTTGTTCTTCAAGCAAATAATCTATCAAATAGATGAACCTCTAGAAAAACATTATATCAAAGGGAAAAAGAACAACATATATCAAAGACATATTGTGATAATTTATGCCAATAAATTTGAAACCTTATACAAAATTACTCAAATTGATTGAAGATTAAACAGAATTTGAATTGTAACTATTAAAGAATAAAGTTCATAATTTAAATTCACTCCATAAAGAAAATTCTAGACCTACAGGACTTAACTGATACATTCTATCAAGTATTTAAGAGAAAAAATATATATCTACACAAATTCTTTAAAAAAATATAGAAAAAAAAGAACATTCTCCAAGTTAATATCATTGATAGTAACAAAAGACTAATCTCGCATGTATACCTCACATATATGAATAGATCACAGACCTAAACATAAAGCTTAAATTATAAAACTTAAAGAAAATCTGCATGACCACTTTAACTTGGGGAGCTCTCAAATACAACACATAAAGCACAAAATTTTAAAAAACATGAAATATCAAAAGACAAAAATAATACTTAGCCTTGACAAACATAATATATGCTTTTCACAGGACATTGTTAAGATAATAAGACCACATAACTTTACATAATCTAGATATAATAACATGGATGTTTTCTAAATTTATAATAAGTAAGAAACAGAATAAGTGACTGGATTAACAAATTGTGGTACATACATTAGCAGCAATAAAAAGGAACAAGCTGGGCTGGTGAGATGGCTCAGTGGTCTAAAGACCTACTTAGAACAAGCTTAGCAAAGCACAGGGACTGCGGTTCAATCCCCCAGCACCACATGCCAGCCAGCCCCGCCCCCTGGTGGGCTGAGCTGGCCACACACACACACACACACA